ACTTTATATATATATATATATATGAGAAGGATCTAGATTTACTTTGTTCAATAATTCATGTTCTACATTAAATTTAAACGATCTATTAAATTTAAAATTTTTAATATATAGATTAAATTTGTAATTATTATTGTTCTTATAAGGTTAATTTGGACAACTATATTATCTTATAAACTTATTTTGTAGAGTTAGGTAAAATGACCAAAGAAAGATGACATCCATCATGAAAAAAGACTTTGCATTCCTCTTACTCAGGGCTCTCAAAGTTTGCCCTTTTCCTTTTCTTGATTTCTTCCTCAATTTTGAGTTGTAACTTTTTGTTTATGCTGTTATTTTTAAGGTGTGTCGTATGTCGTAAATCACTTTTTTTCCCCTTGGTTTCATATTCTTTGCATGACTAACTTTATTGGAGTATCAATGTTGCATCTATTCATGATTTCCTTTTTCCTTTTCCTTTTACTTGTTATTCTTAAAAACTTGGTTATGTTTATTTGAACATTATTTTCTTTTGCCCTTAGTGCTTAAGCATTGATGATGTGAGCTTAAACAACAACTTCTACTTTGGGTGATTAGTATTGATATGATTTTCTTTTACTTTTACCTTACATGATTTTAAGCTTTCTTTTTTTCTTTTTTCTTTTTTAATTGATGATGTTGATGGGTTCTACACAATGGTTAGGCTTTTTGACTAAAGTGGAGTTGTTGACCAAATTATTTACCTAAATGGGGCTGTTTTGAATTTATTTACGCCTCTTTGATTGGATTTGAGAATGGAAAAGGGAGAGTGGAAAAGGAGGGATTTAAAGAGAAAGTGAGTGGAAAGTGAGGTTGATTGGATTAAGGGAAAGTGAGTGGAAAATGTAGAGAAAGTTTGTGAATGAATTGATTGATGTGATAGATAAAAATAGATTTTTTAATTAATAGTGAGATCCATAAGAAAGATGTCATGACTTACCGTGAGTGGCGGAGACTTAGGCTTTGATTGGATTTGAGGATGGAAAAGGGAGAGTGGAAAAGGAGGGATTTGAAGAGAAAGTGAGTGGAAAGTGAGGTTGATTGGATTAAGGGAAAGTGAGTGGAAAATGTAGAGAAAGTTTGTGAAAGTTTGTGAATGAATTGATTGATGTAATAGATAAAAATAGATTTTTTAATTAATAGTTGTGAAAGATTACTATTTTACCCTTAGGTTAAATTTTTTTTTATAATTATTATAATTAAAAGATAAATATATAAATTTTAACTAAAAAAATTATAAAAAATTAATTTAAAAATAAATTAATTTAAATATTTGCTTTAAATTTAATGATAGATAAAAAATAAAAATTTAAGAGATGAATATATAATTTACACTTTTACCCTTGGATTAAAAATGAGTATAATATTATTTATTGTAATTAATAATAATTACAATAAAATTATATTAATAGGGTTTATTTACTAAAAAAATAATAAATAATGATAAGAATAATAATAAATATTAGAAAAATAATAAGAATCATAATAAATAATAATGATACTAATTATAATAAATAATAATATTAATATTAATAAAAATAAAAACAATAATATTTATAATAATAAATAATAATAACAAAATATATTATGATAATTATATTTTGTAACATTATTTTATTAATGTTTATGAAAGTGTTATTATTTTAATTTTATAAACATGTTTTACTTTATTTTTTTTATATTTCCACTTTTTGATGTTAATATTTAATATATAATACCTTAAATTAAATATAATTATTTAATATTAATATTTAATATATATATATATATATAAATTAAATATTAATATTAAATAATTATATTTAATTTAAGGTATTATATATTAAATATTAATATTATAATTATATATATATATATATACACGTATTAAAAACAAATTAATGTGCCCAGAACGGCCCGTTCCGAAAGTGGAACGGCCGTTTTGGGGTTATAAAGTACTACGCAAAGGCCAAAAGTGGAACGATCCGTTCTAAAAGTGGAACGACCCGTTCTGCTTTCTTATTTTTCTCATAACATGCAATAAAAATTATTAACTTAATTTTTTTTTACATTTGAATTTATTTTTTTTTAAGCTGTTTGGTGGCGCTATGGGTTATACCGACTTTATTTAAGCTGTTTAGTGACGCTATGGGCTGTAGCGACTTTATCTATATGGCTTTCATGGCTTCCCTGAAGTGAAAAAAATGCCACGTGTCACCGGTGTCGCTATAGCCCATAGCGACACCGTTATAAACAGCCCCAAAGGCGTAAATAGTTTCAAAACAACCCCATTTACGTAATAAACTTTTAAAACAACCCCACTTTAGTCAAAAAGCCCAATGATTAAGCATGAAGTCATATAGCCTCTAGTTATATCGTTAAATCTCATTTGATATACTTCTATTAGGTGTTAAGCATTAAGTGCAGCTTTTGTTTGATAGTTACTTTTTTTTTTCTTTTAATTTGCTCAAATTGACCTCGCTAGTTACTCTTATGTTTGCAATTTCTACTTGACAATTTGGTTACATATTATTTACTAGCAGAGAAAAGATAATTCATGTTTGCATTGAATTTTTTACTTAAATAATATTATTTAAAAAAAATACCCAAATAGCAATTGTGCAAATTTATTTTTCTAACTAGCATCGTTTACTGTTCATGTTCAGAACGGACCGTTCTGAAATCAGAATGGGCCGTTCCAGATTAAAAAATAACACATGGCGAATGGATTAGAACAGATTGTTCCAAATTCAAAATTAGCACACAAAAAGTGGAACTAGAACGGGCCGTTTTGAATCCGGAACGGGCCGTTCTGGCCTACAGATTCAGAACATTTTATTTTATTTTTTCGATTTTCACTTATCAAATACCAAAACTCAAAGACTACCATCAAGTGATTAAATTTATTGAATATTAACATTATAAATATAACTAAATAAATTTATTAAAATTCATTACAACAATAAAGATCAATGGTGGCGAAAACTGAATTCATGACCAATATTTGGATATGTCTTTCTAGTGTGACTAGGGGTGTGATAATAGAAACAATTTTTTTACACGATTATGTTGTTCTCTAATGTCCATCTCTTTTCTAATCCTGCTGGACTTTGGCCAACCCTTGAAAGTTCTCTTGAGTTCTAGATTTGGCCACAAAGTTAAAAGAAACGCAACATCCAAGAGAAGTTTGATCCGCTGGGAGATTTACAATAAGGTTAAATGAAATGTGGTATGATTGCGGCAAGTTCCAGAAAGTTCATATCCCTTGTTCGCATGACCCGCTGAGAGATTTATAGTAAAACTAAATGAAATGTGGTATGATTGCGGCAAGTTCCAAAAAGTTCATATTTCTTACTCACATGACCCGTTGGGAGATTTACAGTAAGACGAAATGTAATGTGGTATGATTGCGGCAAGTTCCAAAAAGTTCATATTCCTTGCTCGCATGGTCACACCCCTGGTCACACTATGAAGACATATCCAAATATTGGTCATGAATTCAGTTTCCGCCATCATTGATCTTTAATGTTGTATTGAATTTTAATAAATTTATTTAGTTATATTTATAATGTTAATATTCAATAAATTTAATTATTTGATGTTAGTTTCTGAGTTTTAGTATTTGATAAGTGAAAATCGAACAAAAATTTTTTTATTTATAGGCTAGAACGACCTGTTCCGGATTCAGAACGGGTTGTTCCACTTTTTATGTGCTAATTTTGAATCCGGAACGACCCATTTTGATCCATTCGTTATGTGTTATTTTTTAATCTGGAACGGCCCGTTCTGAATGTGAACAGTAAATGGTGTTAGTTGGGAAAATAAATGTGCACAGTTGTTATTTAGGTAAAAAAAATTTAAAATAGTATTATTTAAGTAAAAAAAACTCGTTTGCATTAAAAAAAATGACAGTTATTTTCATCATGAATTATTTATGAGCCGTTTCAGAAATAAAATATGGAAAAAGACAAAAAAGTTTATGTAAAAAATGAAAACTAAACGTAGTTAGTAAAAAAAGATATTTTCTTTACATAATGGTACAAATTATGAGAAAATAAATACTCCATATTTTTATGTATTTTATTTTAAAAATAAAATATAAGATAAAAGATAATGGTGAGTTATTTTTCTAGGTATTAACAGTCACTCGTTCCAGTTGAGTGATTTTTTTAGTGCATGAAAGTTGAGAGTTAATTATATTATATATGTAAAGTTATGAATCATGATATACTTGTCACAGAAGATTTAAAAAAGAAAAGTGATTTTTAATCTTTTAGTAATTATGTAATTTTAGTTTTTTAAATTTTTATGAAAAATTTTAGTATTTAAAATATCACAGTTATATAATTTTAATTTTTTAATTTTTAATTATATAATTTTTATTTCGCAAATCAAATATTATAATTGTGTAATTTTAATCTTTTAAGTATTATAATTATTTAAATTTTTATCTATTTATATTATATACATTAATAATTTTAGTAATAATAAATACATATATTTAATATATGAATAAAAATTATAATATATATAATTTAAATAAATAAAAAAATTATATAATTATAATATTTGGAAGATCAAAATTATTTAAAAAGTTAAAATTATTTAATTAAATTTTAGAGATAAAATCACACAATTGAAATATTTGAAAGATTAAAATTATTTAATTAAAATCCTAATGATAAAAATCACACGAGATTAAAATATACTTAATTAAAAAATTAAGAAAATAGTTATATTTTCTTTATAATTTTTTTGGGGGCAAAGTTTTTTCTCTTTGCACTTATCAGTTATCAGTCTTGGCTTTTTCTTGATACAATATTGGAATGCGAGTTTTAAACAATCTTATCGTTTATTAAAAAGTTGTTCTCAATGTATATCTAATATGAATGCATTATGAAGATTAAATATATATTGTTATTAAACAATGTGATGTTATATTATTAATAAATCATTAATGCATTGTTACGCACACACTCACTATATATTCAAAACTGAACACACTGAGTCTTCTCTGTCTGACACGCAGGCCAAGCATAAACAGGTTGAAATCTCTTTCATGTGTTACTTTATAAGCTCATAGCTTCTGCAAGGAGTTATGTTATGGCAGAAAGCAAAGACGAAATCCATTTTGAAAGTTCTGAATGTTCACCAGCCTCAACCTCGCCAATGGGTGGCAAGCATAGATACTTGTTTCATAGATTATGCAGTTCATGGGACAAAAGCATCAGCCTAAAGGGTCGAAGAATTTTCCATAGGGATGTGGAAAAAGAAGAATTCCAGTATGCCAGTAGTCACTGTCTCACATCTTACTATAGTGTCTTCGTGGTTCGACTAGCAATCATGGTCAGTCATTTTGCTCAAATTTTGGTCTCTAATTTTGCTAGTAACTAAATATTTATATGTATAAACATATTCTTATTTCTTACTTATATTTGAAGTTACATAAGTGAAGCCAATAATTAGTTGAAAAGAAAAGATTGCTAGATTAGACCCTTTCCTAAATCTAACTAACCACTATTTTGTTTTCATGCAGATCATGCTAGCCATCTTGATAGGGCTGCTCACTATACTGACATGGCATTTCACCAAGATTTACACAACAAAATCACTTAACAGTTTGGCATATGGTTTGCGTTATGAACTTCTGCAACGCCCCGTTTTGAGGATGTGGAATATTTTAAACTCTACTTCTGAAATTACTACAGCTCAGGTCAAACTATCTCAGTATGTGATCAGACGCTACAGCAACCCTGCAAATCAAGCAGAGCAAGTTGAGGTTGACTCAAATACACTTGCCCTTTAATAAATACAAAGTTAAATTTTATAATTGAATCATGTATTATTTTGATGATTACAATTTACACACACCAAGTTCTAGATAAATTGGATACTGAAAACTATGTTACATGTTAAAATGAAATTATATCATAAAGTATGAATTAATTTTTAAATTGTACCAAAAATTTTAGATTCGAATAGTTGATTTACTCAATCTGCAGTTTCAAACTATCATAAAATGACCTATTAAATGGATCCATGTATCTCATCTTCTTTCTGTGTATTGTGTTTGATACTATATTAGAACTTAGATTATTAACCGGTTATGTGTTGCTTATTTGTGATGTTGTAACTCTAGCAGCTGTATGAAGCTATGAGGGCTATAACATGGTCCTTGTTTGCTAGTCGGAAAGCTCTAAACTCTATAACTATCAATTATAAGAATGGATTTGTTCAGGCATTCCATAGGGATCTGAAAGACAACAACACATTTTACATATACTCTGATCTTGCAAATTACTCAATGGGTGCCAGCAACTCAAATGAGATCAATTCCTTTTCCACACATCAAGCTTGGGATGATAAGGCCCTTCACGGTAACTATTCTGCAATCTGGTACCGTGAACCACTTGATCCAGTGAGTGGTGAAAAGATTGGAAAAGCTATGAAAATTGCACCTGAAGACTTGATCAACATAGCTGGGTTTTCACAAGTACCTGATGGTGTAGCTTCTTGGCACGTTGCAGTGAGCAAGTTTACTGATTCACCGTTGCTTTCAGCAGCATTGCCAGTTTGGGACTCTTCTAATAAGACCATTATGGCAGTTGTGGGGGTCACAACTGCACTTTATAGTGTGGGACAGCTAATGAGAGAGCTAGTCGAGTTGCACAGTGGCCATATGTATTTAACATCACAAGAGGGTTATTTACTTGCAACTTCCACAAGTGCACCTCTACTGGCAAATTCAACAAAGCCTAAGCTTAAGATGGCTGTTGACTGTGAAGATGATGTAATACGACACGGAGCTGAGTGGTTACAGAGAACTTATGGGAACAATTTTCCTCCAAGTCATGAGGTTCATGTAGAGAATGTCAAGCTAGGCCACCAGAGATATTACATTGACTCATTTTTCCTAAAATTGAAGAGACTTCCTTTGGTAAGTTCGAAGATACTACACCTATTCCTATTCCTTATATTTGATCTTTTAAATAACATTACTTTTTGTAAGGATCGGTATTTGAATATGGTACACTTTTGAAACTTAAGATCTGTTGATGATAAGGTAGAATATTGTAGTGAAATTTTCTGCCTATTATAGTTTCTGAGAGTCTATTGGAATATGACTACAGGTAGGTGTGATCATCATACCAAGAAAGTATATCATGGGGCAGGTAGATGAAAGAGCCTTCAAAACGTTGGTTATTCTGATATCTGCATCGTTATGTATTTTGGTCATTGGATGTGTTTGCATTTTGATATTGACAAACGGAGTTTCAAAGGAAATGAATCTAAGAGCAGAACTGATAAATCAACTGGAAGCAAGAAGAAAAGCAGAAGCATCAAGCAACTATAAAAGTCAATTCCTAGCAAACATGAGGTTTGTTTTACAAGTATAGTTTTGGAAACAAATAAAAGAAGCTTGCTTTATCCAATTTATGGTCTAAGTATAAAATTTAGAGAACAAGGAATAATTTATTCGACAATAATCAATGGCTTGAAGGAATTTGAGGCAACTTTTCTAAAACTTATTGTGTTATGAAACATGTTGATTTGTTACTATAAACTAGATCCTTTTTATGACACTGTACTAAAGCTATTCTAATGACCTATCTTTTCATTTGGTTTATTAGTCTGAGATGATCCTTCCATTGAGCATTCACAAATATGCTTCATGGTTTCTTTCTTTGGTGTATTACAGTCATGAACTTAGGACACCTATGGCAGCAGTAATTGGATTGCTTGACATTCTTATATCTGATGATTGTCTCACAAATGAACAATATTCAACCGTTACTCAAATAAGAAAATGCTCAACTGCTCTGCTCCGTCTACTTAATAACATCTTGGATCTGAGTAAGGTGAGCTATGAGCTTAACATTTTGTTCAGTTCTTTACCACTGCACTTCTTCCATAAGCTTCCTGATATTATAAAGATTTTAGGTGGAATCTGGAAAACTAGTCCTGGAAGATGCAGAATTTGACTTGGGAAGGGAACTTGAAGGGCTTGTAGATATGTTTTCTGTTCAGTGCATTAACCACAATGTGGAGACTGTTTTAGACCTGTCTGGTATGATTCAGTATGAGAAATTGTAATTTCAGTGACAAGAAGATGATTATAAGTTCTTTTAACTAGCAAATGATGCATCAAAGCCAATAACTGTTATCCTGCAGATGATATGCCAAAGGTAGTTCGCGGTGATTCTGCAAGGGTGGTTCAAATATTTGCAAATCTGATCAACAATTCAATAAAGTTTACTCCATGTAAGCCAATATTTTTATGTTCAAGTCTTGTTATGATAGTGGATTAGTGGTAATGAAAAAAAATGAAGTTTAACAGCTTGAAATATAAGAAATCTCACAAAAATTTAAAATTGTATCATTGGAAATAACTTCCATGTTCACCCCCCAAAATTATCTCAAATTTTCAAACACTGGTCGGTTCCATTGCATTTCCTGAAGCATGATGTTAGAAGGTGATAAAAGGCTTCTTCTTTTCAGGAGTGTTTCTCTTATGGGGAGTACTACATAATGACTGGACTACAATTTGAGAGTTAGTTTTGGTTGTTTTGTAGTTAGCTCCTACATTATGTAAGTTGTCAATCATTTGTGGGTTATCTGAACCCTATTCATTCCTTCTATAATGAATTTCATTTAAATTTCAACAAAGTATTGAGTGATGATCTTTTGATTTTTAAAAAATAATTATCATTTTATTTAAATAAATCACATTAATGTGTTGAAGCATCAAGGTAACACCTTTCAATTTTATTATATTGTTGTGGGGAGAGGGGTGATTGTCTGATCAGAAATCAATTGGTGATCATATCAACATTCATTAGCCTGAAATTCTTCCGTTGGTAGTCCAAATTTGTTGCAGCGGGTCTATTGCTATGACTACGAATCAATAAAGCTCTGAAAGAAGACGAATATAAACTCTTTCAAATGTGTTGCAGCGGGTCATATTATTCTGCGAGGATGGTGTGGAAATCGAAATTCTTCCGTTGGTAGTCCAAATTTTCATCTTGACCAGAAGAAATCACGGAGTTTACAAAAGTGCAGAGAGAAGCCAAATGCAAACCATTCAAAGAAAACATCTTTAAAAGATAATAAAGTGATACTTTGGTTTGAAGTTGATGACACAGGCTGTGGTATGAACCTAAAAACTTGTCTGAAAAACCAACACCGAACCGTCCCTTTTTTGTCAAAATAAAAATCAATTCAAGTATAAATCACTATCATTTTCTTCCTGTATATGTGATATAGGTATTGACCCAAGCAAATGGGATTCTGTGTTTGAAAGCTTTGAGCAAGCTGATCCATCAACTACAAGACTGTAAGGAATTTAAATTTTCAGTGAAGATAAGATTAAGTCTTCCATAACATTCTTTTAGCTAACAAATGATCATGATCATTAGATGAGTTATGAAATTGTCATTAAATGCCATTATACTTCAAAACTAGTATAAAACTGATATCCAATGGTTTAAAAGCCTTTTGAAAGCTATATGCTGAAGATTTATGGAGCTCTGAAACCTTTACTCATTTCAGGCATGGAGGCACTGGTCTTGGACTTTGCATTGTAAGAAACTTGGTGAGTAAGACCCTTAACGTGTACGGTTTCACATTAGTACACTTATCATTCATAAATCATGATGAATGTGTCTAGAATGTGTCTACACAGCACAAACATATAAAATCAATTGTGAGACTTGAATATAATTTTCTTTGATGTCATTACTACTGTGGGGTGGCAGGTTAACAAGATGGGTGGAGACATCAAAGTTGTCAAAAAGGAGGGTCCAGGAACACTGATGCGATTATGCTTGATACTCAGTGCGCCCATGGATGTCATAGAACAACAGTGTGCAGTAGATTTGACAGAAAATGGCTTAGTGGTAAGTAGAACCACTGTTCTGGACCGATGACATTTGAAATAAGAAATATTATATGCTTGAGTTGTGTGAATGTTTGTGTATGTGATAGACTATGCATTACTGAGAATCCACAATGCAAAAACTTTTGCACAGTTGACTGATAGAGTTATTTTATGATATTTGTCTGAGAGGATATTTTATGAAAGTTATTTTTATAAGGTTATTATACAAACATACTCCACAATGATGAGATATTGTCCGCTTTGAGCCTAAGCTCTTACAGTTTTGCTTTTGGTCATCACTCAACAATGATGAGATATGGTATTTGTCTGAGAGAATACTTTATGAAAGTTATTTTTATAAGGTTATTATACAAACATAATGATGAGATATTGTCCGCTTTGGGCCTAAGTCCTCACAGTTTACAGTTTTGCTTTTGGTCATCAGGCCTCTCAATCATCGAAGTATGTTTGTATTATATAAGTTGTTATTTGTTGTGTTATTTTTATACGGTTATTTTACAAACATACTCCACAATGATGAGATATTGTCCGCTTTGGGCCTTAGTCCTCACGGTTTTGCTTTTGGTTATCAGCTAAAAGGCCTCTCGATCATTGAAGTATGTTTGTATTATATAAATTGTTATTTGTTGTGTTATTTTATCGATGTGAGACTTGTTTGTATCTCAACATTGACAACATTGCAACAGTAGTTGCAGTCTTTTAGTTGACTTTGCAAGTAAACAAAGCAGAAGCAGAATGACATCAGGCTTCTTTTGTGTTGTGCCACTGTATCCTATCGTATTCTTAAATAACAGGATAAAGTTTTGTTAAAGAGAGAAAGACATTTTTTTCCTTAAAATATAACTAGTGATCTTGTAACCAATCATGATAGATCCTTAATATAATGAAAAACAATATCTTTCTTTCTCTAACATTACCTTCTTCTGTTAATCAAATTTTTTTTAATCAATCATATGCTGTTATTCACTAACATGAAAGGATTTATTCAAAATTAGAATAGGATACAAATCCCATAAACAATTATGTTTTGTTTTGCAACAAATGCATACATTTGCTTTGATTTTATAAATAAAAGTAGTTCATATTTAAAAATATATTGTTACAATGTAGTGCCTCTTTTTAGTGTGCAACATGTTATCATTTAACTCTGACTTCTGTATTGATTTGTGCATTAACTAATTAAAATTTAAATTTACATATAGTTCATCTTGAAAATATGCTTGTTACTAAATGCAAATGCATGTGCCATGTGGACATGTTAGTCAGACCCTACACCTACAACAGAAAATCACTGGAAGGATAATAAACAGGTTCTTTAATAAGAAGTGTCAATGTAGGTACTGCTTGCACAGCAAGGAAACATGGGTCGATTAATTACATCGAAGTGGCTACAGAAAAACGGGGTGTGCACAATGGAAGCATCTGATTGGAACGGACTAACTCAAGTTTTGAGGGAACTCTTTCATGCAAGAAGTTCAGTCCATAATACTGACTTTGATGCACACTATCCAGCAAAAGAGGAATTGAAGTCTAAACTACTCAATATACGAGATATGAGGAACCCGGTTTTTGTCATTGTTGTTGACATGGGACTCCTTGACTTGAGCACAGATATATGGAAGGAGCAGCTTAACTTTCTTCACAGGTACTTTGGTAGAGCAAAGTTTGTATGGGTGCTAAATCATGACACCTCCAATACCATAAAGATGGAGATTCGTAGGAAAGGGCATGTACTGATGGTCAACAAACCCCTGTACAAAGCAAAAATGATTCATATTTTGGATGCTGTCATAAAGGAGAGAAATCTTGAGTTACAGAGGAAGAACATGACTGCTCCAAGAATGAAAGAGGGCGATTTGCATGAGTTTCTTGAGATAGATTCTACTCACTTTGAAGCTGCTAGCTCTGATGATTCTGACATATCTGAAGTAGGTGGTTCTAATCATGTTAGTGCTGATGGAGATAAACCAGTTGAAAAGGTAGCCAAATCCCATCCATCATCACCATACCATATGAATAACTCCCTAGTCAATGAAAATGAATATTTGGAAGAACATAATATGGGGAAGGAAGAATCTTCTAGTCCAAGCTCCAGTTATGGAACCGAAGACAACCAACCTAAATCACAGTCCACCAAAGAATCATCCATTTCAACCGAAGATCAGGATGAAGATTCTGAATGTGGAGAAACACAAAGGGTTACCAGCTCAAGTAAAGCAGTAGATGGAAAGAAATCTCTTGAAGGACTAAAGATATTGCTTGCAGAAGATACACCGGTGCTTCAAAGGGTTGCAACCATAATGCTTGAAAAAATGGGAGCAGCTGTTGTTGCTGTAGGTGATGGACAACAGGCAGTAGAAGCTCTTGGTTGCATGTTCCCTGCTGAAGATCGTAGAAGGGAATCACTCCAGAAGGGAATCACTCCATATGACTTGATCCTAATGGATTGTCAGGTATGAGATAAAAAAAAATAATAATAAAAAAGCATATCATATCTTTACTTTTAATAGTTTTAGATGTTCTCAAATAGTTATAAATGCTAGTACAGAATACTCTCAAATAGCTATCGGACACTAGAATCGGGCTATCTAGAAATGTTTTTGAAAGAAACCAGCAACCTCAGATAAAAAAGTAAGTAAAAATTGATATAATTTATTTTGGTTATAAACTTAGTTTTACACACTTCAAAAGTGTTCCGATAAATATTTAAATGCTAAAACTAACAAACTCTTGATTAGATTAAGTGTGACTAAGTTAAAAACTAAAAAGTAAGCATAATTTATTTCAACTACAACTTTTTTTTTAAGAGATAAAGCGATCTTTATTCAAACTTACAAACAAAACAAAAAAAAAAAGACTTTAAAATACTTTATTATGACAATCTAAAAAATTTCAAATTCTAACAAGGGCAAATGTTATATATTAAGAGTTTGTTTCTATAGAAGTTAGAAAGATTTTTTAGAGTTTTTTTTCACTCAAATAAAGAATATTTTTTATAGAGAATCTCTCAAAATATTTTTAAGTTTAAATTTAAATAGATTCTAAAATAACCTCTTTTTCTTTTCTACAGCAAGTGAATATGAGCTTTATTATTCTGATTCGTCTATTTCTTTGTGGAAACAGATGCCAAAGATGGATGGGTACGAGGCAACAAAAGCAATAAGGAAATCAGAAGTGGGAACAGGCTTGCACATTCCCATTGTTGCTCTTACAGCACATGCAATGTCATGTGATGAAGCAAAATGCCTGGAGGTGGGCATGGATGCTTACTTAACAAAGCCAATTGACTTCAAAATGATGGTGTCCACCATTCTTTCACTCACCAAAAGAACATCTTGACTTCTCTCTCATAAAGCCCAAACTAACAAAGGGTTGCTTAGAAATGTATAGTCAGTATACAAGTTTAATTACCGCATAAAAATACATAGGTTGACTTATGTATTGTAGAAATGAAATCCATTTTTCCTGACACTCGTAGTCAATGGCTGTAGTAGCTAGTGGTCTATTGTGTGTGCATAGAGGATTGCAATGTGCAGAAGGAAAAACTTTATGTTTTCCTTACTAATCTATTATCAACTACCATTTACATATTGTCTGATATATTGAAATGAATAAATAAATATAGTAAGGCACGAGGAGTACGAGTCCCCTCACAATAAATATGTAAGAAATGTGCCTTGAATTTTGATTAGTGTTACATTGAGAAGTTTTTAGAAGAATATGAAAAATATAGATGTATAACTAAATAAAATATAGGGGTTTAACTTAGAAAATCTGTAATATTACACATAAAAAGGATAAAAAGTAATATGATATATTTGAGTTATGAATTCAGTTTTGCACATTTTAAAAATATTTATAACAAGTGTTTAAATACTAAAATTGACTAATCTTTGATTGGGTAAAACAAATAACAAAATATAATTAAGTTAACAAACAAACATCGTTTACATGCATAACTTACTTTTTTTTCTAAATATAAGTAACCTTTAATTAAACTTACAACCAAAACAAAAGATTCCAAAGACTTTAAAATATTTAAATTATGACAATAGAAAAATCTTAATTGTCAATACTCCTTTTAAAGATTTTTCTTCATCATTTCAAGTTTTGATCTTTATTATGTTTTACACTTCTTTGTTGGATCTTTTTCAAGTAAATGAACCTTAAAAAATTTAACATATTGGAGTTTAACACTAATTTTCTCGCTTGAAATAATAAAAATCCTTACAATTTTCTTAATCCACTTTCCATCTTGAAAAACCTTTTCTATGAGAGTTGCAGCAACATTATCAACATTGTTCTTTTTTATAAAACTCATTATTGAATTGAAAAAAAGTACAATAATTTCAACTAAATTTTGTCAATCAAAAAATTTATCTTTTCCATTGACTAAAGTCATGACCATAATTATTGTAATTTCCATGATCCATAAAAAAGGATTTAACATAAATTTTAAAATTTTTAAAACCTTATTTTCTTTCTTTTCTTCAAGTTTGTCGTACTCAAATGTAGACATCTCTTGAGTAGCTTCTACCATTAACCCATTCAAATCACATTTTAAAGTTTGAAATGTCTATTCAAGTAACCCATTTTTCAAATCTTCATATTTATTTAAAATAATGTGTGACTTTTTTCTTTCACTCTATTGGAAAACCTTTATCTTTCATTTTAGTGGACATAAGCTCACACTCGGAAAGATAAAAAATTGTACATCCCATATTTTTAAAACACAGAATATTTTTTTTTTCAAGCATTTGTATCACGCTTAAAAGATTTTGATTTATTTCAATAACAAATAAAATATTTGAAATATATTTGATACCTAAAAAAGTTTCAACAGCAGCAACACTTTTACCTTTGACATCAACATTTCCTCCATTGTCCATGGTGACTTTGGAGATTTGGGCATCTACTGTCTATGAGTTATGTCTCTTTGCTTTTGCTCATTGAATAACACCTAATAGCAAATAAATGTTTCTCATATTGTTTTCCATGCTCCACATAAACAAACTGAATGCAAGTCCTACATTTAATGTTTGGCCCGCAAAAATTTTCAATATGGTTGTTCTTGCAATGGTGGCATTAGAAATTCAGTTTGGGTAAGGCCTGTTCCTCAACCCAGTCCATTATAAGTGTACTCGACTTCTTGCTGATGCTTAAGAAGCAACAAGCACAATAAGAGTGATAGAAGCATAAGAATAATTTGAGCATGGCAAGGTACTATGACGTATGTTGCATTTATCTTTTTTTTTTTCATGCATGTTATGCAGAAGGGTGAGAAAGATTGTAAATATGGATGCTCACATTGCCCTTGCTTGTGGTGAACTAAAAGCTGTTGTTCACGTGCTTAATGCTTATAAACAGGGCAATTGTTGAATGACAAAGGCTCAACAAGGTCCAATAAATTGGTAGTAGAAAACTAGTTCAGTGGTTCCTTCAACATGTTATCAGGAAGGAGTAAATGAAGCTTATAATAATTCAGTTCGGAAGGAGTAATGTTTTTTAGTTGGTCTGTGGTTTTTGTTGTGTGTGCCTTGGCAGCTTAATATTAAAAGCCTGGTCTCTATGATATCCACATTAATGCTTTAACATGTCAGTGAGTAATAAAACCTGGCAAATGTTTGTTGACTCAGTTCAGTTATTATTAGAACTTCAGTAATGGAAGTTGCTTATAAGCAACCCTGTACCATATCACTGTCAAATTAGCTCTGACTCACTTTATGGGTTGCTTAAATTTTAGGGGCAGCAATGTGACACAGGGGTCGCTTATAAGCAACCCCCATTATAAATGTTCTTAGTACTTATAATTTAGAACTGGATCCTATAAATGTAATTTAATTCTATTGTTCTTATTGTGGGTGACATGTGTAATTAGGTGGTTGAGAATTGAGATTCGAGGAAGAACATAGAAATTGCTACGAAGTATGAAGCCTAAGGAGCATGGTCTAAATTGAAATCATAAATTTATAAAAAGATAAAAACAAATGGCCCATGCAGGTCTCGAACCTGCGACCTTCGCGTTATTAGCACGACGCTCTAACCAACTGAGCTAATAGGCCACTTGACATGAATTAGCAACTGAACTTCTAAGCTAAACTTAACAACCCGATAATATACTTTTGCTGATTATGTTTAAAATCACCGTGTTCATCTGGTTAGCAAACCATCCTCTTTTTTTTTTTTACATATATAAGCTTCTACAATTTTTATCAAACTTTTTGCTATCAAAGAGGTTTGTATATTTCTTTGATCATAGATATTACTCCTGACTTATTGGTTCAATATTCAGTGACAATATGACATGGTTGAGACTTGAGACCTTTCAATCTCAAAATGAAGTTGGCACTTTCGTGGAGAGGATATATACTATATGGCTCAAGAGGCCCTATAAAATAATTAAAATATTTGATATTTTCAATTCAACTATGGTGCAATAACCCACCTTTCAGGTTGACAACATGCAACAAAAGAAGAAAGACCAAAAGCCATGCATAGCTGGTAGAAGAACTGTCTTCCAATAGTCTGGTCGTATTTAGAAAATTTGAAATCTTAGATAAATTTTATGAGTTATGCTCTGTTTTTAATAAATTAAGACATTTTTTTAAGACAAAAGTTAAAGACTAATTTTTTTAGGTATTGAGATTTATTTAAAGAATTAATATTTATTAACATTATACACTAACTAAAAATCAAACTTTTAATTATATATTTAAGAAACAAAATTATTTATCAACAATATCATGTCATTCTAATTATATTGAGTCATACTCTAATATAACTCATTGTATTTTTTTTATTATTGTGAACTGCGAATCTATTAATTGAGATTTAATAATCAAATAATTTTAATAGTTTATTTAATCATAATTTATTCAATCATTTTATTGTAACATATATAATTTATCTTAAATAAATCTTAAAATATAATTTTCAAAAATCATTTTGACAATAACAATAATTTCAAATATCTTCAATACTATTTTATAGACATTACATGTATGTAAAAAAATCATTTTAATATAGATTAATATTTTAAATAAAATAAATAAATTTTTTAAAGTAATTATTTTAATTTTTTTAATTTAGGAAACAAGTCAATTCCATTAAGATCGGCTTAATGTTTATTAAAAGTTAAATTTATTTTAAAATTAATATAATATTTTTTATTTATTCTTTTTTAAACTCTCATTTACTGGGATAGTTGTAAAAAAATTCAAATTAATTTCATATTTTTATATTTTTTCAAATAAGTTAAGTGTGAAAAAAATAAATTTATAAAATGTATCATTTTAATAATTTAAATTAATTAATTTTAAATAACGTATATAAAAAAAAAAATTAAGGGATCTAAGGCAGTGGCTTTACTCGCTTGCCACTGCAACGGGCCCACGGCCCTTTATAGTCTAAAATTATGGACTCTTTTTTTTGGTTTCTTGCAGTGTGTGAGAGAGTGGTAAAAATTATGGACTCTAATATATATATTTTACTCTTCTTTAATGCTTATGTCTCCTGGAGCCACCAAGAAATTTGTTGCTCAAATGCTAACTATAATGCCTACATCTTAAGCCCAATAATCCTTCCATTAAAATAAAAACCATGCAACTAGTTTGTTTTAAACGTCAAACTTTGACTTTTGATGGCAAATCAAAATAACATTAGAGTCCTAAAAAAGTTGATGCTAAAGAATTTATGAACAATTTACCTTAGACAATCAAACATTCTTTAAAATTAATCTTTCAAACATCTAAAACATTACCAATGGCCATTCAATAATTTTGTCACCAAAATAATTCGTTAAAGGTTTTATTCATCTTTTTTTTTTTTTACACAAATTTAATCCTCCATAAAGATAAATGTGGTAACTTTTAGAATTTCAAGTGACTAATTTAAAGACTTTTTCTATAAAAAATAATACAATTTAATATTTTTAAAATATGTATTTATTTAACTTCTAAAGGAACTAATACAATGACGTGTAACTAAGGAGATCAATTTGAGAGTTTATCCATCATTAAGTAAACCAATGCAACTTTTTTTGTTAATTAATTTATTTGTATGGGCTGTATGGAGTTTGATTGATTGGTTATTTTGAATGATTGATTTCACTTTTTGAAACCTCAAAATTATGGTTGTACAAATGTAATGAGTTTTTACTAATCATTAAATGATAATTTTCAAGAACAAAACATAACAAGTTAAGTAGATGGGTAAAAAATATAAAATGCACATTATATTCGAGAAGTGTTATAAGAAATCTGAACTAATTATATATAATCTCTTTTTCAAAATAAAACAAAAGAGACAGAGGGGAGACTTGAACATTATTGTGTTGATAATTAATTATGTCTTAAGTTGGTTACTTTTTCTCTTTCGTAAATAACCTAATATTGCAACTGAGACCATAAGGATTCCAAGAACTCGCTTGGCCTTTGGCTTAATTTGCTCGAGCTTCTCAGGTGGCACCTTAGGAAACATGAAAGGACTCGAGAAGCCTAGCTCAGAGAGTTTCTTATGTGCAACTTCGTAATCTTTGAGAAAAGCATCCTTATCCTAGACAATTGAAAATCATAATCATTAGACATGTGAAATTACATTGCATCCATCTAACTCTTTGGTTCTGTATTTCACCTAGAAAATATCTTTGGCATTACCTTTGCATACTTTTCAACATACTTTCGAAACTTTCTATCTTCCACCAGAGCTTTGTCCATGTTAAGTGTAAATTTATCATTTTTCAATAATTCCCTGTTTGGTTTTGCATGAAATTTCAATTTCTATACCTTTTAAATACTAATAAAAAAAAGTATTCATCATGCAATTAGAAATCTTACACAAAATAGGAGTTATCGAACTTCAATGGATTCGATGTCCATATTCCTTTTTTGTCATTGTGATCTTTAGATGCCTCACTTGATTTTTCTATTTTGCCAAAGTCATCTTTGGATGTCTCACTCAATTTTTCTGTTTTGCTAGAATGATTTTCAGAAGTCTCACTCGTTTTTCCTATTTTTCTAGAGTGATCTTCGGTTGCCTCATCTGTTTTTCCTTTTATGCTAGACTGATTTTCAGATGTCTCTCCCTTATTATTAATTGGATATATGGTTCTTACCAAAACTTGGCCCCCAAATAGAGCTACAATGTCTTGATCAGTTAGACCCATCCGAGTAGTAAAAATATCCCTTAAATGTGATACACCTGAAAACTTTCTATATCAAAGATTTTTTATAACAGTTTTAAGTCAAACTTACAAATGCTTTAAATAAGACCAGACAGAAATATGTAATGGCTAAAAAGAAGACCATGTATATCGAATGTTTTAACAAACAGAAGCAAATTGATTGATAAGTGATCCCAGCAATTTCACACCATACTTAACCAACGCATGCACGTTTTGGTCCATTATTAAAATACCTTAATTCAACTGTTAAATGGTAATATGAGAAAAGCAAAATTAAGGCAAGGAAGAGAGATTTAGAAATGGCAGAATGTAGCAAACATGATTTCATTACCTCTTTCGTGGGGATTTGGAATGCGTCCTTCTTGTGGAGGCTCGTCTGAATCCTAATAAACAAAATAAGGTAATGTATTGAAACTAACAGTAAATTGCTATTTAATACGAAGGTTATTATTTTGTCAGGTGATGATTAATACGTTTAAATATTTTAATTATTTGATGATATGTAAATAGAGTAGTATTTATTTGTTATATTGTTTAATAATATTTATTTGCTAATATTATATGTTACCGATTTTATGTACCCAAAAAAAAATATATGTAAGTTTAGAAATTTGTTAGCAACTTTTTTAATTCATTCAAACATTGTCTCTTTTCTTCTGAATCAATAAATATATTACATAATAATCTTTAACAACCGAATTTATTTAAATAATTGTTTCTTGTTAATTTTTTTTACAATTATTAATTAAAAATAATATATTCCAAAATTATTAACATCAGGTTCTTATCTTAAAATTTAAAAGAGGAGAATATTTCTTAAGTGTTTGAATTAAAATATACTAATTATACATAATAAAAGATTATATATAGTGTTTTATCATGAATTTTACAAATGAAATAATAACTTCAAAGAATTAAAAACTAATAAAATTTGAAGAAAAATTTATTATATAATTATGGTTCTAAGAGAAAAAAAAATAGATGAAAAAACCAATTTAGCTCGATCTTAAAAATAAACATATTGAATTACTTTAAAACTTACAACACCAAAACGTTAGACAAAATTAAACCATATTTTAAAAAAAATACAATTATAACTTTGGTCAAAGAAGATGAAACACATATGTGACAAATAAAAGCAATCTTTCATATCGAAACAATTTTATGAATTTTACTTTTTAACCTTTGTGGTATACAAGAAAAATGATACTTATAAGGATAAAAACAAAATAATTTTAATAGTAGAGATTAAAAAGTCGTGTTTATGAAACTTTAGGGACCAAAATTAGTATATAAATCTTCTATTGATCTATATATATGTATTCTTTATTTCTTTCTAGTTTCTTCATGTTACTTTACATTATTTATCATATATGTAAATCAGTTTCTTTTCTTTGATAATCTATGTCCCTTGTACCTCCTATTGGTCCTATATCTCAAAGGGGAGGTATATATATATATCTATGATTTTTGTACATAAAAAAAGAATACATATATAAAAATACCTCTCTGCCAGGTACAAATCGAATAGATGGACCCCCAGTGACCTCTACTGCAACGACACCAGCTAGCTGAAGCGTTAATATAATCAAACTTAATGCTATGAGTTATTAGCTAATTAAGTTATTAAAGTGGTGACATCGTATAAGCATTTAACCTGGTAAAGGTCGGCGTATGAAACTTTTTTAAGTTTGGCCTTGACTTGCTCTGTTTTGGAAAGAAAGAAGAAAGAAAAGATATGGTGAGGGTGAAAATAAAGAGTGTTAATGGATGAGACTTGAGAGTGAAATTGACCACATAATTGAAGTGCTTTGTCCAAGCCCTTGTTTTCTTGGCGTTTCAACACTTGTTCACTCCTTATGCAACCGTTAGGGCCTCCTCTTATTTTGCTCTCAGGATCGTAGCTACAAGCATCTTGCCATCTGCCATTAAATAACTAACATTGTATATTTGATAGGTAGAAATGAAGTGAAGACATGATTAACAATACGAAGGAATGACGTACGCTAAGCGAAGCATGTGAGGGGCGCATTTTTCCTTGTAGATGAGAGCCCGAAGTTCACGTCTTGCCTTCTCTATTTCCTTCAGATACTCCTCATCGATTCGACTTTTCTCCATTCTTGTTTGCTTTAAAAAAATCAAACAGTTCATGTGTGTATATATAAAGCCATTGAGAAAGAACATAAGGATATGCCCATCGTGTTTGCAAGTAAAGGATTTGATTGCTTTGGTGGAAAAACAATTGTTGATTTGGTCAAGAAAGGAACAAGAATTTGTTTCCTTCACACAAGCCAGAACGACAAGATTCACTTCACTTGCTTTCGCTTACAATTCGATTAGTATCGGTGTTATGGAAATTAATTTAATATATAAAAAAATTAAAGGACTAAAACAAATTTGAAATTTTTTAAAACTTTCACCAAAGAAATTAATAACAGTGTTTTTATTTTTATTATATATATATATACTTATGACAAATTTTACGGTACCATAATATATTTAAAAGGTTTTAAAACTGTTATTTTTTAAATAAAAAAAACATGTTAACATTTGGTATTTTAAATAGTTTGATTTGACGTTTATCTTTTTTATTTAAATATTTTTAAAAATTATTTATATATATATATAAAAGAAAATTTTTCATTTACTAAAGATATTTTTTAATATATTATGAGTTATCATAAATTAATATTATTCATATTTATGTGTAAATTTTGAAGAACAAGTTGAATAAAAAATTCATAAAATCTTTCTCTACTTTAGCAAATACAATTTTATTATAGTTTTCTCAATGTTATTTTGATTTCTACAAAACGATTTAAAATATTTGGGATAGTATTTGATAAAAAGAAAAAGTAATTTAATTACTTAAATTATTTGCTTGTTAAGAATTCATCACTTAGTGTAGAGGAAAAAAGTGAAAGTGAAAAGAAAAAAATATCCACTATTTAAGTCATTTTTATTTGTTTTAAAAAATTAGTTGTAACAAAACATCATAATTTATAAAGGTACTGTTAGTAACTCTTTATATTTTTGTTAGTTAGATAAGTTCAAATATATATATATATATAAAGCATTTCTATTAAGAAAGTAGTTTAAAGTTTAATTCAGCCTTATAAAACTGATTTATAAGCTAAAAATTATTCTGTATTTATATATTATTACAATCTTATCTTAGTTAACGTGGAATCTCCAACATTCAAATAAAAATATCTCTTATAATAAAAAATGAAAATAATAATTAACAATCCTTAAATTAAAATAGATCATTTAAATTAAAGGAGTATAAATAAAAGTATCATGTATCATTGTCATTTTAATTATTTTTTTCATAATTAACATCATAATTATCATCATCAACACTATCACTATTGTCGTCATTGTCACACCACTGCCTCTACTACCATTGTAACAACATCACCAATCATTATCATTTTCATTACCATCACCATGATCATAATAATAATGGTGATAACAATGATAATACAATGATAATGATTTAAAAGCAATAATTATAGTAGTGATTATGAAAATTATGTAATTATGATAAAAAAATAATTACAATAATAATATATGATATTTTTATTTTTTTAATATTTTAATTTAAATTATTTATTTTAATCTAAAAAATATTAATTATACTTTTTCTCATTATAAAAAATATTATTTGAAATTCCTCATAAATGAGAAACAAAATAAAAACAATTTAATAATATCTCTCATATTGAAATAGATTATTTATATTAAAAATTATAAATAAAATTATCACTTATCACTATTATTAGAATTAGTACCATCTTTATCATCGTCACTCCCACCACACCGTCACCGAGGCTGCCGCTCTACCACAACCGAACAACCAGTGTGATCCTATACAATCCTTATATTCTAAATTCATATGTCAGATTCACATTTATCCTATATATGTATCTTTAGATTTAAGTACTTATATTTTTCAAAAGCCTCATATAAATTTGTGTCTTTAATATATTATAAAATCCTAAGTAATCAAATTGAGCCAAATCAAGTTCTGAGAGATTCTGTTACTCTATTCCTCTTTTTATTTACTTCCTCACAGTCCTTACAATGAGTTATAAGTTATAACTTTCGTTAAGGTCGGACTTCAGTTTTTTTTTATATTATTATTTATTCTTGCAAGAATGTCTTTATAATTATTTAAATATCGTTTATCACTCTGATTCTAAACCTAAAAATATAAATAATTAAATAAGTAATTGGTAAAAAAATTGACTAAATGTACAATATATATTGAAAAAATGATAGACAATAATAACACATCACAAAAACATTCATGATAAATTTTAGTATAATAAGATAGTTCATGATTAAAAAAAAAAGAATTAAAAAATACTTAATATATTTTTAATCTTTATAAAATAAACAAATTCGATATTAGTCTTTATAAAAAAATATTGCAATTCATCCCTATAAAATTTATAATCATTATTTTCATGTCATTTTATAATTATTTTTAACTATTTATTTATTTATTAAATTGTTAATTGATCATTTTAGATGTTTTTCATAAGTGTTAGTAATATCATGTTAGTGTGTGACATTTCTAATTTTTTTTATAAGTTCTTAAAATAAATGTTATTTATTTACTTAAATTATTTTATAGGAACTAAACATAATGATTTTATATTTTAGAGGGATCCAAATCAAAAATAAAAATATTTTACAAGGATTAAAATTAAAATTTACTCATTTTACAAGAACAAAAAATATTTAACAAAGACTAAAATTAATGTTTACAAATTTTAAAAGGATGAAAAATAAAAATAAAAAAATAATGGAGTCCAACATCAAAACTCGTGCATTTTACAATAACTATAAATATATATTTAATTCTTATAGAAATTAGAGATGAAAGGAAAATGAAAAAATTAAAGATAATTTTTATTTATAATTTTACATTAATACTTACGGAAGATCACATATGTAAAAAAAAAGGAATAGGTCACACTTTCTTCTTTTTATTTAATATTATTGATTTATTTTTCTAAAATTATAAGCAGATTTTTGTTGACTAGTAGAAAAATAATTATTAATTAATTTTTTGCAATTAATTTATTTTCTCTCATATTTTTTTTATCTAATTGAATTATGTAAATTTTTATTTTCATATTATATAGACTAAATATCATTTATTTTGGTACTCCTTCAATAATGGTACTTTGGAAAGTTGTCCCACCAATTCATGTTCAAAGTCATCATTATTCAGGAGTAATAATGTGGGTTGAACTATACCAACCTACTTATTTTTAATGGGTTAGATTGAACGAACAAACCTGTTAAATCAATTAATCAACTCGATGGATCATCTCGTTAAGCCACTTTTTTTGTTTTATAATTTTGAAAAATAAATTTGTTGTTGATTTATGTTAGATCAATGTTGGATAATTGTCCCACCAACCCAGTTCAAAGCTAAAATCTGACATTTTTGCTTCACCTCCTATTTTTCCTTCAAAATAAGTTTTTTTTTTCTTCCTCTCCCAAATCTTGGTTTCCCAAATCTTGGTTTTTCCCCTTAGTGAAGGTTACACCTAATTCAAAAAATATTATTGATATTAATTAGTTAAATAGTTATAAATATAAAAAGTAGTTTACTAATTATAGTACTTACAGAAATTAACTAATTTTGAGATTTAAAAAAAAAATAAGACTTGAAATTGAAGTTAGATGTTTCCCTTTCAACAACCAATTCAAATAAATTTGACATCTAATAACAATTACTTTGCCTCTTTTCACGGAAAATATAACATTCCTAATCAATTTTACAAATAATAATAAAATTATAAGTTGAAGTGATAATGCATATTGAAATATTTTAGATAATAATTTTTTATAAAAAAAAAATTGGATGAGTTAAAAATGACTCAACTTGTTAAGTTACCATTTTAAAAGCACTAACCCACTAAATTGAATCAATCTATCAACTCAACACCGAGTGAAACCAACTCAAGACTAAATGAAGTAAATTACATTTTTTTTAACTCATTATATTTGTTGAAATAATCTATTCCATCCCACTTTAAATATATTAACTCACTTTACCACCTTTTGTAGTTATATAGATCCATTCATAATATTTGAAATTTCACATAATATTTGTTATATCCACGTACTTAAACAACTATATATTTAGTATCATCATTCATTTGTATCAAATTTTAATAAATATCTTTTAAAATTTTCTACATTCTATAATTTTTTCGATTAAAGAGATTGTATGTAGTTTTTATGGATAAGAATTAAAATATAATGTACATACAAAAATATTAACATAGAATTATGTGTTAAAAGAATATTTTATTAAATTCCACGAATAGTAAACAAGCATCTAATTTTAAAAATTAAATTATGAAATATATAATAAAAAAATAAATGATCTAATTACAATTTTTTTCTTAATTTAAAAACCAAATTATACCTTTTAAAAAAAATTCAAAAGACCAATTAATGTATTAAATCAATTAAAAAATTTAAATTCGTGTCACGTAAAAAAAGGTTCGACCATGAATCGAGGCAGTAATATGAACTACCTAATAATTTCATGGATAAAACTGAGTAAATCATAACAAATTAAGAAGATATATCAAAATTAAATATAAAATCTACATTATATTCAAGTTGTATCTGAAGAATTCGAAGTTCACAGATTATACATAATCCTTTTTTTTTTAAGAAGAAAGAAGATAACGAGCCTATTTTGGAGATTTGAACATTAATTATCTCTTCAATCAGTTATTTTTCTCTAATTATTATGTAAGTAATTATTTCTTCAGTTGATTATTTTTTCTCCTTCGTAAGTAGCCTAATGTCGCAGTTGAGACTATAACAATTCCTATAACTCCCTTGACCTTCGGCATAATTAGCTTTAACTTCTCAGGTGGCACCTTCGGAATAATGGAAGTATCAAGATTGCAGCCTAGCTCACAGAATTTCTTATGTGCAGCTGCATAATCTTTGAAAAAAACATCCTCATCCTGTACAATTGAAAATCAAGATCCAAATTCAATATAATAAAAAATCCACACGATCAATAAATACATAAAAATTTAAGTTCCATAATAAATAAGATTATATTGCTTCTGTCTAACTCTATAGACGTGTATTCGACCTTTAAAAAAAAAAAAAAATGGTTATTTTACCTTGGCATACATTTCAACATAATTGCGGAACTTTTTATCTTCTACCAGGGCAATGTCTGCGGGAAAAACCTTTAACAAGGATGCATCCTTTTTCAATAATTCCCTGTTTAGTGTTATGAGTGAAATTTCAAATTTTATACTTTAATATAAAAAATAAAAAATAAAATCCTCACCATGTAATTAGACAACTTACACGAAATAGGAGTTATCAAACTTCTTAAGATTTCCTATCCATTTTCCTTTGCCAAAATGATCATCCTTGCCCTTATAAATTGAAGGGGATAATAATAACGAAATAACATTTATAGTCAAAAACTATTTATGAACTCTTGGATATATTGTTTAATTAAAATAAATAAATAAATAAACTCTTGGATATAACGTTCTTACCAAAGTGTGGCTCCCAAATAAAGCTACAATGTCTTGATCAGTTAGACCCATACGAGTAGTAAAGATATCTCTTAAATGCGATGCACCTGAAATTTTTCCATATGAAAGAAATTTCTACACAAGACATCTAAAAAATTTATATTAAAAAAATGAGTAATATAGACATAAATCCTCTTTGCAACTTATTTTTACCTTTTTTTTCCCTCCATCTCTTTCTACTGTTGTCATCACATTACATATTGTATCTACCACTTTTTCTTTTGATTTTTTTTTTCTCTCTCTCTTTCTCCTTAATTTCCATTATATTATATCCACCTTAAAACGGGGTGTACATCTAATATTTTTCTTATAATAAGATAATTCTACAAGAAAAAAAAAAGTTACGACTTCTGAAATGGATTGGTGGAATAATCAATTAACATAGGCTAATTTTTCAATTGATTATTCGGCGTAAGCAGTCACAAAATACAATATTTTTTCTACAATATCAAAGAATCAACATGATAAGACATGACTATATGCTTTATACCAAGAAGAAATTATAACCATAACCTATCGGCACTATTCATCTTTTTGTATGCTATAAACATAAATCAAACTGGCAATTAAATAGGTGAAAGTACTCTATATCAATAATATTATCATTAAAAAGAGAGAGAGAGTCAGAAATGGTTGAAAGTAGGAGACTGAACTACCAACAAGATTGCATTACTTTTTTCTTCGGGATGTGGATGGCGTCCTTCCTGTGGAGGCTCAAGTGAATCCTATTAAAGAAATAATACAATAATTTATATAATAGGTTAATTTTCTTCTTCTATATTAAAATTATTATGCATTTTGTTTGTAAAGTAATAAACCCTATTAAGAAAGTAGGCAACCCTTAATATGAAAATACCTCTCTACCGGGAAGAAAGTGAATAGTGGGACCCCCAGTGACCTCTACTGCAACAACACCAGCTAGCTGAAACATTATGATATGTTAATAAAACATGATTCAATGACATCCTATAGTGTAATTAATTGGTGAAATCATATATTAAAACTAGATAACCTGATAAAGGTCAGCGTACGAGACTTTCTTAAGTTTGGCCTTCACTTCCTCTGTTTGGGAAAGAAAGCAAAAACGGTGAAGGCTAAAAAGAAGAGAGTGAAGAAGGAAAGAAGAATAAGAAATGAAATTGACCACATAATTTAACTGCTTTGCTCAATCCCCCGTTTTCCTGGCGACCCAACTCTTGATCACTCTTGATAGAACCGTTCGGACCTCCTTTTATTTTGCTCTCGGGATCGTAGGTACAAGCATCTTGCCACCTGTCATATATTAATTTAAAACCATTGAGATGATATTCAGAGAAATTTTCATAAATTAACAAAAGAAATAATTGAAAAGTGAAGCAGCACGTACGCTAATCGAAGCATGAGAGAAGCACATCTTTCGTTGTAGATAAGAGCCCGAAGTTCACGTCTAGCCTTATCAATTTCCTTCAGGTACTCATCATCAACTGGAGTTTTCTCCATTACTTTTCTCAGCCAACGCTTTAAATTGTTTTCCAACTGCTTTTGCCAATCAAGGATTAATTAAATGGTTTACGTGCATGTGTACGTAGGTATATAAAACACACACACACAAGGATATGCTTATCATGATTGCAAGTAAAGGATTTCATTGCTTTCGTCCATTTTGTTGATTTGGTGAAGAAAGGAAGAATTAATAATTTGTTTCTTTCCCAAGGGGAAGGACAAGATTCACTTCAAACATCACACGTCTTCAAGTTTTTGGCTTGGGTTACTACGTAAAAAATATGAATATCCATATTTGTAATTATGTTTTCACAATATATATTTTTACCATTTAGGTTTATTTATACATTTCATCTCCTTGCTCCTTGTTATGCCATTTCTCAAAATCCTCCTCTCCCAATTTTTTTTCTTCACGAATTTAGTTCATTCAATATTACCATTTAGGTTTAATTATATATTTGATTTCATTAAACATTATATTTGTGCAATTTTAATTCATCTATTAAATTAACATATGATACTTAAAAAAAATGTTGTTGCTAAACACATACTACACATTCACAATAATACTCTACGTACTGCCATGTCATTTTTTTTATTAAATATTAAATATTAAGTTAATAAATAGACCAATAACCCAATTAAAATTGTGGAACCAAAATCGTGAGAAAAAAAATGGAAGGACCAAATTTGATAAATGACAATAGTAAAATGGACTAAAAAGTGTAATTAAGTCTATTGTTTTATAAATTATTACTTAAGAAATTTTTTTCTTCAACCCAGTAATTTTAAAAAATTACTAAATGGGTTCTCACAAGTGACCTAACATTATTATATATATTTCACCAACATTAATTTTATTAAGCCATAATTATTTGAATTATGAAAATTATAAAATAAAAAAACTTATTTATACTATTTTTGTATAAAATAAAAAAATTAAAAACATAGTCAATTTTCATCCGCAAATATGCAACATTGCAACGTGTTAGTCCTATATGCAAATTATGTTGACCGCTATGTTCATACGCCAAGCATTTCTGCCTATATGTTATGTATTTAACTCTCGCTGTGAATATTTGATTTAACTTTTTAAATCCAAGCTTATAATTGAAAAAAAAAAAAAGTAATAAGTTTTTTTTTTATTAATTTCGTTTCAAATCATTAAATGATAATTTACCGGACTAAAACAGAGTAAATTCATTTACCAAAAAAGTCGCTAATGTAAAAAATAATAATAATAATAATAGGTGGGTGATGGGTCAAAAGGAATATAAAATGTACATTATATTCCAGTAGTATTTGAAGATTTCTGAAGTTCACAAATTATGGGCTGTTTGTTTAAGCTTTTTTCTTTAAAAATGTTTTTTTTAATAAAATAAGCACCTTTTATTTTTATGTACTTGTTTAAACAATTTTTTTTTTAAAATAAGCAGCTTTCTACTTTTTTTTTTTTTTAAGAAACCACTTCTATCTACTTTTTAAATAATCATTTTAAAAGTACTTATTTAAAAATAATTATTTTCTTAAGTTTGAACAAAATAGTCCTTATATATACTATTTTTTAAAATAAGAAAATGAAGAAAATAAGCTCAAAGTCCAATTGTGAATATTTTTTTTAATAACAAAACTTATAATTTTTAAGCATTGTTTATAATGTTATTCAACTAAAGTTACAATTTTGTCACAAATCATCTACAAATAAGAGTTTCTATTAAAAGCTTATACAAATTATCAAATAAAACTATAATTTTAATTAAAAAATATCACAAATAATATCTAAAGATTGGTATCTAAATCTTCTTCGACCTTTAATTGGTTTTTCTTCCGCTTCTTCATTAAGTAACCTAATATCACGGTCACCACAAGTGATACTAAACCGATTCCTATAAGTCCCTTGGGCTGATTTAGCTTCTCAAATGATCCCTTTGGCTGATTTGGCTTCTTCAGATTGCAACCTAGCTCAGAGAGCTTCTCATGTGACATTGCATAATCTTTGAAAAACGTATCCTCATCCTAATACAAATGGAAATTATGATCGACATTCAATACAGTAAAAAAAAAAAAAAAAAGAGTGCAGTTGATGCAATTAATTAAGAAATCATAATCATTGAATTAAAATCAAATTACAAGTTCAGAATTTGAATTCATGTTTTAAATTAATCTGATTTGACGAGACCATAATTTGAACTGTTTGATTTTATCTAATAAATGTAATTTACCAATTGTACCAAATGTATCGTTTTTTACTGCATTACATTCCATTCTCAAAATTATGAGAATTTATCTTACAATAAAATCGTAGAGAAGTATATATAATCGTGAGTGATGGAAGAGAAGAAAACTAAATTTATATTATTACAATGAATAAAAAATAGTGTTGAGATGCAAGCAAAGTTCTACATCATTTAAATAAGAGGATAGACATGAGTTTATATACACACAATTGTCTCCATTGGTAGAGAGGTTTTTTAGGTAGTAACTAAAAATAAAACTGTGAGGATTAGATCCAAAACAGACAATATCTTACCAATATGAAGACATGTGTATGTGTCTAATAACCTCTTATGCACAACAAAAGATAATATTTTATCAATATAAAGACATGTGTATATGTCTAATAACCGTAATGACAATATATTGTTTTCATCCGACTCTATGACGGTATTTGTCCTAAAACAACAAAAAAATCTTTGATCTTTACCTTTGCATATAGTTCAACAAAGTGACGAAATTTTTCATCCTTTACTAAAGCATCGTCCATGGGAAGCCTTGATGATGCATCCTTACTCAATAGTTCCCTGATTAATTAGTGTTATGGAAACTTTCAATTTTTATACTTCTTCAAATAAACAAACAATTGGCAATTTGGCATCACGTAATTAATCAAACATCTTACACAAAATAGGAGTTATCAAACTTCAAAGGGTCCTTTGTCCATTGACCTTCAAAGTGAAAACGATCTTTATGTGTCTCCCTTATCGATTAAAGCAAATAATAATGAAATTAATTGTATCTTTAAAACTATAAGTAGGGATTGCAGGATATATCGTTCTTACCATAAGGACCCTTGGTATATGATATCGTTCTTACGCCTCCACATAGAGCCACAATATGTTTATCGTCCCTTAGACCCATACGAGAAAAGGTATTCCTTAAACTCTTTGCATCTAAAATTTTTCCATATCAAAGAATTAATTTTCATAACAATTGTAAGTCAAGATACAAATACTTGGAATGTTTTAAGAACTAGATCCTAATAACAATAAACAAAGGAACAACCAAACAATTTTAACAGACATCCGCGGGCAAACTTTATCATCATCACCCATAGGATCTATATATAACAACAGTTTCTATGAAAAAGTCGATAAATTATGAAATGAAAGGCAAGATCTCACATAAGTAACATGAAGGCTGAAGTGATCAGGTTTCCACAAAAGACATGGAAACTTAGAAAATATTAAAGCCAAAAATGGACTAGCAAGATAGGTTTCTTACCTTCTTCGCCACTTAGATGGCGGCCTTCTGGTGGACACTCATCCGAATCCTAAGAAACAAAATAATAAGTTAACTAATTAGCAATATATCCAAACAAAATTTGTCCCACACCATATATGTAACTTTATATAAGAGTGAACAAAAAATTCAACTTGACATGATTCATAATTAAACAAATTCAATTCTAAAAAATTTAATCCATAATTCAAAAACATCTGATCCACTTTATTAAAAATGAACCGTTGAATTTAGATTTAAAAAAAAAAATGAAATCCATGGACCATGAACACCCTACCTGTCTACCGGGATAAAAGTTAATAGTTGGACCCCCGGTGAGCTCAATTGCAACCACACCAGCAAGCTGAAATTACTGGAAAATAATTAATCCAATTCCAACCATAAATATAATTATAGTGAGATAGTATATATAAGTAGTTAACCTGGTAAAGATCGGCGTAAGAAACTTTTTTAAGTTTGGCCTTGACTTCCTCTGTTAGAGAGCGAGGAAGAATGTTAATTGTGTTGGTGAATTGAGTGAAAGAAAGAAGAAACGAAAAGGAAAGAGAGCACTGACCACATAATCGAACTGCTCGTTCCAATCCGATGTTTGCCTGGTGTTTCAACTCTTGTGGGGTCCTAATAGAAGCGTTGGCACCTCCTGTTCGGGTTTGGGCATCGTAGGTACAAGCATCGTTCCACCTGTTTGGAATTAACATGTTAAGGTACGTAGGTAGAGTGGTTGTGGAAAGCAGCTGAAGCAATTATAGTGAGTGAGTGAGTGACGTACGCTAAGCGAAGCATGAGAGGGGCGCACTTGTTGATGGTGATGAGAAGGCGAAGTTGGCGTCGAGCCTTCTCTATTTCTTCCAGATACTCCTCGTCAACTAGGGCCATGTCCAACCTAATTATGATTGCTTTGATGGTGTTTATGAAGGCTTAGGTTAACGATGGAGAGAGATCATGGGAGTGTGTGTAAGCAAAGGATCGCTGCAGGCGCTGGAAAAAGAATCTCTTCTCTTGCCTTTCCTTCAAACCATCACATTACCTTCTTTCTTTACTTATCACGTATATTTTCACAAGGTATCATTGTAGATTGGAATATTTTCATTTAAAATATAGGTTCATTTAAACTATATATATATATATATATAATTAAGTCATTCATTTATAATTTAGTCTGTAGTTAGAAGTGCATTAACAATTTATGAAGTTTGATAGAATGTTCATTACTTGATTACATCTAGGTGGATAATCACATCATATTGTTATTTCATGTAAATATTTAATTATATATGTATATTAGGGTTTAATTAATTTTGACCCGTAATTTTTTTTTATAAATCTCCCTAATCATAAAAATTATGAATTGATATATGAATTTTAACAAGTAAAGATTAACAATTTATGCATGTGAATGATGGCATTAAACAATAATGTAATGTGGGTATATATATAAGTATGAAGCTCTAAAGTATATTATGTTATTTACGAATTATAAACAAATTTATAATTCGAGGCACTAAATTATAAACATATAGAAACATGATCGATCGAATTGAATTTTTTTTTTTAATTTGAAAAACCTAATTAAAAATTCTGAATTTTTTTATGAAGTAATGTATTAAAAAAAATTTATTATATAAAAAGATTTGTTTATTTTTATGAAATGTTTCATATTAAATTTATATTTCACTCAAGTTTTCATATTTTTATTAATTTATTACTTAATATATTATATAATATTAAAAATATATTTAATTGTATTAATTCAATTACTTTTCATAATTTTTCAAATAATACCAAAAAAATTTAAATAAATTATGAAGTAATACTTTCTTTTTTTTTCACAAATATGGTATCTCAAAACTAATAACTATAGACTAATTAATTTTCTTATATACATATAACTTCTACCAACTAAACATTATAAAATAATACATTTATTCATTCAATGTGAAATTTGATTTTAAAACATTACAAATAATAATATTTAATATTATTATATTTTATTCTATCTATCTATCTATATCTATATATATATATAACATAATAATTTGAATCTTGTATATAAAAAATATATGATTAAAATATGAACCTTCATTAAAAATAATTAACCGATAGAAATCGACAATTAACAAAATAGACATATTTTTTTTATCAATAATATCACATAAAAATACACACTCATTATCCCACAGAAGGAGCATCCAACTTTTGCAGCAAGTCAAAACGAAATGGCTGCAAAGATTATTCAACCAACTCATTCCCATGTTGGGCTTCATGTATGTCTTGACAATCTTAAATCTTCTATATGCACGTTCGTCTGAACATGAATCGCAGCCGGGTTGTTCCTTCATGCACGTTCCATGACTCTGTTTCTTCATTTGTATCCAGACATGAAAAGCCACGCATCTTTTGCAGGCTATTATACTAAATGGAACCTAACTTGTTCTACACTACACATACATGTGCCAGTGAAAATCAATCAATGGAAAAGTGAGCGTCGGATATGCAAAGACCGCTTGGTTCTTGACTAGGGTAACTTAATTTGTTCATAATAATGGTCATGGTTTCACAAAGAAAGGAACAATGTGGTGCATGAGTTGTTAATGGCTACATATATTGGCTATCATGGTGGTTTAAACCCAACCAATATAATGTCTTAAATTCACCAACAAAACTTTAACTTATTACATAAATGAAAAGTATTTTTAAGAATTTTTTTATTAAAAATAATAAATATTTTTTGACATAGGACTTTTAAATACATTTTTAAATTTGTATTCAAATAAATTCATTATTAAAATCAAAATGTCTTTATATTTTAAGAAAATAAGTTTAGAAACTAATTCATTCTACAAAATCAACATAATTTTTTACAATTATATTACACTATTATAATATTAATTATATGCCATATTTATAGTTAAGCATGATAATGGGATAGGTTTTATGTTTCTCACATTTGTCCCTGTAAATTTAAACTATTCTCGTCCCCGAAATTTGTTAGAGATAAAATTTAGGTATTCATTCTCACTTCTGACGTAGTTTGGGTTTTCCCACCTTCACTTCTGGATATTTTTTTTGTTTTTAATAAATATGAAAAAAAAAATAAGATAATATAAATTTTTACATATAAAAATTTTTAATTTTAATTTATATATATAAAAAAATTTAATTATATTATTAAGCGGGGCAAAATAAGTATGAGGACAGGATGGAATAGGTATTAACATTTTGGTCCTCACTCCCGTTCCCAATTTTACCAAGAAAAATTTGAATCCAAACTTGGTCAACATAGATTTTTCCTTTCTAAATTAGGGCAGATTTGGATGGATACGCAGTGTCCGGATTAGAATGCCTTGCTTATTTATGGCTATGAATAGACAGATTGTAAGGCGTTTTGCAGAATGGGGCGTGACCTGAGAATAACGGCAGAGTACGTGCCATGTGTATGTGCAGTGAGGGACAGCCTCCAGTTGCAGGCTGCGTCTGTTGTTTAAGAAATGAGTACAAGAGACACCACCAAAGTCACTTGATTCTTAATCATGTGAGCATCTCGACTAGCTTACTTATAAGCAATCTCCTGTGTTACATTACTGCTAAATTAATTCTCGCTCATTTTATGAGTTGCTTAAATTTTAGCAGAATTATTTTTATAAGCAACTCTGTTAAAATTTAAGTAACTCATAAAGTGGACTAGAACTGATGTGACAGTCATATGGTACAGGAAGTTGTTTCTCATTACATATGCTCTAAATAACTAAAGAAAAATCTCACTTTTTGTTTTTTTTTTTTATTTTATTTTTATCTGTTTGTCTTATATTTATATTTATATATAGTCACTAATTCTATCATTTGATTCGAGATTACATTATATGAATATGGAGAGACGATATGATATTTGAACCTCGCATTATATACAAGCTTTTTTATTTTTGAGAAAGAGGAAAATCAGCCAAGTGTGTCCTGTTGTAAGGACTAGTACATTTACGTGAGTAATAGTCTCTTCAACTGGTTTTATTAATGTTCAGCTCACGTAAGTAACCCAAGATAACAGCAGTTAAGGCAATGGCAATTCCTATAGCACCCTTCACCAACATGGAACGATCCTTGACATTGAAGCCCAGCTCTGAGAGTTTTTTGTGTGAGCTTGCATAATCTGCGAAAAAAGCATCCTCATCCTATAGTACAATTGAAAATCATTAGTATGAGCCTGAATATATCTTATTATATGTAATAAAAAATAATGATAATAAAATGTTTCCAACTCTTTGTCTCTTTTACCTTGGCATACAGTTCAACATACTTGCGGAACTTAAGATCCTCAACTAAAGCCTTGTCTGTGGGAAGCTTCAATAAATCTTTTGAGTCCCCTTTCAGTAATTCCCTGTTTAGTGTTGTGTGAAATTTCAATTTTTATACATTTTTAATACACAAACAATATTGACATCATGTAATTGAGCATCTTACACAAAATAGGAATTATCAAACTTCAAAGGGTCCTTTGTCCATTGACCATGAAAGTCAGAACGATCTTTATGTGCCTTACCCTTATCAATTTAAGTGAATAATGATGAGATTAATTGTATATTTTATACTAAGTAAAGGAACTCTTGTATGTAATTAATATAGTTTTTACCAAAGTGTGGCCTCCGGATAGAGCCACAATGTCTCTGTCGCCAAGACCCATGCGATAAAAGATCTCTCTTAAATGAGATGCACCTGAAATTCTTCCATATATATCAATGAATTTTCCTAATAAATTTGCTAACTTTATTTGATTATAAATTTTGTTGATTTTTCATGTATACTGTTTTCATACTCAAAATATACCTCATCTTAGTTTTTATTAATTTGTACGGCGTTGGCTTTTATATACTTTAAAAAAGAAGAAAAATATTGCTTAAAATGCTTTTGGCTCCTCCAAAAGCTTAAGGTATAAGCAGATTGCAAAATTCAACTCTCTCATCAAATGGTAACATTGAACAGCAAAGCCAACCTGAGGGAAAGTAATTTTTGCACGTTAACTTCTATTGCACTTCATATATTTATTAAAATAAATAAATTATTTTGCTTTCTCTTTTTTCTCTTTAATTTGTTAAATAGTGTGACATTAATTTTATATAAGGGAGTATAAAACAAAACTTAAAAGTGATGTCAACTAAATATCTGTATCTAGAAATGGTAGAAACCGGAGGCAACACAAGCAACAGTGATTTACCTTGTTTGGCATCTGGAAGACGCCCTTCTGCTGGAGATTCCAATGAATCCTAGTAAAGAAAATAGTATATAGTAAATATAAGCTATAAAGAATCGAAAATCAAAACACGTGAATTATAAGGCTAAACAAAACAAAACTTCCCCATGCATGATATACCTTTCTCCCGGGAAGAAAATCAATAGTTGGACCCCCAGTAACCTCTACTGCAACAACACCAGCAAGCTGAAATACAAATCCAACTTCATATAACTTAACAAGTGACTCTCCAAATAAATAACTTCTTGCTAATTATTGCCCTTAGAGTATTAGTTAAAGAATTGATATATAAAAAAAAAAAAAAATTTAAGTACAATAAAGTTATGTGAAAGAATGTGAAGTTACATTTTTCATTAAAATCATTCTACTTTTAATTCTTTAACCAGTATTTCAAAGACATGGTTAATATTTTCCAACTTATAAAGCCAAAACTAAATTTATAACCTGGTAAATGTCAGCATATGAAACTTTTGGATGTTTGGCCTTCACCTCCTCTATTCCCCAAAGAAATTAACCAAAAGTAGTTAGGATATTAAACTGATAAGAAAGAGCAATTAATTTAACTTAGATAAGAAGAAAACTCACCACAGAACTCAACTGCTGTTCTCAGCCCCTTGTTTGCTGCGTGATTCAACTCTTCTTCTGTCCTGATAGAGCCATTGGGACCTCCTGTTTTTGTTTTAGCATCGTAGGTACCAGCATCATGCCACCTACAAATTAATAACATATAAAATTGTTACTAAACTATTGTCACATGTAATATTCTGAACTGAGAAAGAGAATAATGAAAGCAGGTATAACGTACGCTAATCGTAGCATGAGAGGGGCGCAGTTTCTGTTGGAGATAAGAGCACGAAGGTCACGACGAGCCTTCTCAAATTCCTTCAGATATTCACCACCAACTGTAGCCTTTACCATATTGTCCTAGTTATATTTTGCAGATGCAACTATGTTTTAATTTGTTTTGTGGAAAAGCTTTTGGTGTGAAGGCTTTATATATAAGGCGAGAGATCGACAACGGAATGAACAAGAAGCTCATGCTGGCATTCCAAGGAAGGGATTTCATTCCTTTCATTAATTACTTTGCTGCAGCTAGAGAAAAAGAATTTGTTTCCTTCACAAGGAGAAGATTCAGCTCAAACAACCAATAAAATTATTTCATGAATATTATAAGTTATATGCTTGCTTTTTTTTTTATATAATCATTCTTCCCATTCTTATGTCAGGAGTAAACCATGCACCGTCCTATAAAATATAGAGACCCGAATTAACTTGGAACACAAATGATATAATTATTAGCAAAAGGTTGGACAGGTAAGTTAACTCATGGAGTTTATAAAGAAGTAATATACTATCCATCACAACAAAACTTATGCCACATTCCTGCCAATTTGAAAAAGTAACGGCCTTTGTTCAATAGAAAATATTTTGAAACTATTCTCATCCAATACCACGTCCACCAGTGAGAATCCTGTGATGAGATGGCCTTTATGTCCACACCCAACTACTAAAAGAGAAATTCTGTTATATATATTATTTCTAATACAATTATATATATATATATATAATATATATATATATATATATATATATATATATATATATATTTCATCCATAAAAATATTATAAACACATTATATAAATCGAATTAAAGTCCTCTCACTTTTCAGTCATTTACATTCTTTTATATATAAAAAAAAGAGAGTGATGAGAAAAAAAATAATAAATTATCCCATATATATAATTCAATACATGAATATAATATGTAGTATTTAATTACTTTTTAATACATTCTTTATTTTTATTTTTAAATGCATTTATTGTTGACCGATATTTATAGAAAAATATAAATGTTTAGAAAGTTTTACTTTTTATTTAATGAGTTGCATTTATGACTTTATGTAATTTTTAATGAATTTTAAATAGATGAGAGAATCTATCGGTATCTCTACTGTTGAGTCCAAATAAGCAAATGCTGTAGTTGGAGGATATCCCATGAGACCGTGCATCTGATCTGGCACTGAGCCTTTGGGTATGTCGTGCCCTGCATCATGCATGTTATGCAAAGCTGAGAGGGGTATTCTCGTCCACTTAGTTCCAAACATAAAATAACAGTTACTGTCTTTTTTAATTGCAGGCTCTCTGCCCAAAGCCCCTTGTCTGTGTGCTATACTTCTCTTTCTCTTTCTCCATCGCTATTCCACCACTCCTCAGAAAGAGAGAGAAAGAGAGAAACCCCAATGCAATACTGCATAACAATATAACATAACTATCATAAACTTCATTATCTCTCTCTCACTCTCTCTGCTTTAACCTCTGATTCTGATTCAAGTTCATTAGTTCAAGTGTCCCAGAGTGAAGAAGGTTTTGGAGTTTTGATTTTGGCCCAAAAATAAAGCACCTTTTGCAGCACCACCAAGCACACCAACGGACACAAAAACAAACCTTTATTTTTCCCCACAACACCGTTCCCTTGGCTGATCCAAAAACACAAGATGGGTTGCTGCCACTCCAAACTAGAGAGTGAAGAAACGGTGTCGCGTTGCAAAGCCAGGAAGCGTTACATGAAGCAGTTCGTGCAAGCAAGACACGCTTTCTCCGCCGCGCATGTCATGTACATTCGCTCACTCCGTGCCACCGGTTCCGCACTCTTTCACTTCGCCAACGCCGAAACCACCGTCCTCCGCCACGGAAACCACCACCTTCCGCCGCGACCTCACCCCATTCTCCCGCCGCCGCCGCCGAGAACTCCCACCCCCATGCCGCCGCCGCCTCCTCCTCCGATGAGCCCCAGCTCCTACACGTGGACCTCCGACACCACCTCCTCCCCCGCTCTTCCA